GGGGACGGGGTTATTTAATCGAGTATTTCTCCTTTATGTTCTGACGCTGTTTCCGTGTTAGCCACAGTTCTCTTTGGGCAGGCAGGCCCACCTCTTGCACTGCCAATTACGATCACATCAGTAAAGTAAATAATATGGTAGAAAACTTGATACGTTGCTGTGCCCTTTCTGTTGTGCTTGAAAACAATTTTGAGCCGAATGTTTTTGTAAAATGGAAATGGTTTCCCTGTTAATCAACGTTCAACCGTTTTTTCTTTTCTCTTATTTATGACTTCTATATATCTGTCTCCTTCAGTTTGATCTGAAGCTTTTTGTTTTCTTTTTCGTTACATAACCGGGAATGTTGACAAGACCCCTCAGCAGTTTGACGTTTCCTCGTTTAGATAACGTGTGATCACGAACCGACTTACTGAACCCGAGAGTCGCACGTGACATCTTTCAACATTGATTTGTCATTAAGAATTGTTAGTTTTTTTCAGAGATGTCGTGCTCAAAGACACGTATCTCAAATCTTTTGCTTTCGACAACCAAACCGTATGGCGTGTGTGCCGTACTGAGGCACGTTCTGACAGCAGCTTTTAAAATACAACGGTTGTCTCAATGGCACATACTCCAGTCAAGAATATGTGCACGTCTTTCAGTTCGCAACGAGAACAGGTCATAGTAGAAATCTTCGTTTTTCCATAAGAGTATTGGAAATCTTTCTTTATTTGTCATTAAAGTATTGTATTAACCTACTTAATTCCTAATAGTTCCTTTCAAACGCCAATCATAGTCGCCGAAGTCGAAAGAAAGGGTTTCAGGAAAGGCGAAGTAGATTTCGAGTATAGAGGCTTGGGAAAGATGGATGAAGTATTGGTAATTATTTTCTTTTGGTTGGGTTGGGGTGGCGAGGGAAGGGGCACTGAACTGTTCAATTTTTTTCCGGATGGTTTTTGCAGAAGGGCGTTCTTGAACGTCATTTGTTTGACAAGTTTTGAGCACTGTCTTCCTACGTGACTGGCTCATATACGACATTGTCTCTACATTCGGAGTTCCTGTTTCTTAAATAACCTCACCATGTTGTTACCGAAACGTAAGGACTATTGGTAAAATTTTACTTAAGCCCTGCTTTCAGAACTTGACCTACTACGCACATCCCGGTCCTCCACTCTCACCATACGTCATGAGCTAAAAACTCTATATAAAATTATCATTTCAAGAATGAGGGGACACAAATAGACTTTTACCCAATTATTTTCACCCTTCGCTCCCAAGCCAACTGCATGGTCCAAAAATCTTACTAATATAGACATTACGACTTCTTTCCAGCATGTTCTTATTGTCGTTTGTTTATATTGCTTTGTCAATCACAGCACTCACGTCTTTCTTTCTCTGCATTTCACAGAGATCTATCATGTGGCTGTAGAGCTGCCAGTGAAGGAACAAACTGACTTGGATGTCAACTTAGATAAATTACTTGACAACTGGGACAAAATCCAAAGACAGGTACATTTCTTCATTAATGCTGTTGTTTCTTTTTTTGGTTGTTGTTTTGTTTTGCTTTTTAGTCATGTATAGCCTTCTTTTTAGATTCATAAAAAAACTACAAGTGGGGGCTGGCATGTCATTAACAGGTCAACATTTTTTTTTTAATTATGATGTCGTTTGTGAGATTATATTATCAAAAGTTCAACTGCTTATTTTTGGTGCTCTGATAAAACTACTCAACAATAATTGTTTCGTTTTGGGTTTTGTTTGTCTTTTGAGGGGGGAGGGGTGGCGGATGTGGGGTGTTTTTTTAATAAATGTGGGGGGGGGGCATCTTCCCTCTCTATTTTATGCTGACAGCTAGTGCCAGAAGCGCCCTTGTTTATCATTGAACAGTTACGATTGTGCCTAGATTAGTATTAATTAATTAATGGTCTTTCTCTGCATGGAGGTTATCTCAACAGCCTTAGTTCGTGAAACGGATTTCCTCACGATGTCCGTCTCTGCTAATTGATTGGAAGTCTAAAAAATACACTCATTTTATGCCCAGGGAAACATTGTTTTGTTTTTCTTTTTTTTCAGTTATTTTTTTAAACCTCATTTAAAGGTGAAACAGTTCAAAATTTGACATAAATCGGTCATTCGATGGGTTTCCTTTCTGAAATTGTCTTACCGTCGTTTCGCTTCATACACGCGCACGCACACGCGCACGCACACGCGCACGCACACGCGCACGCACACGCGCACACACACACACACACACACACACACATACAGACATACACAAATACACACAAACACACACACACAAATACAAACACATACTCACACAAATACAAACAGACACACACACACTTACACACACACA